ACTGCACCCCTTCAGACCCTGCAACTGGACGTCTGGGGCCCAGCCCCTATCCCTGGACCGTGTCGCGAGCGGTACTTTCTGGTGCTCGTTGACAACTTCGCACGCTACACCACGGTGTTTCCCCTCTCGTTCCCTTCCTGTTAGTCCTCCTCTGTCTCTTGACCCGATGCCTCAGTCTCACGTCTCGTCTCGCAGTCCCTCTCCTGCTCGTCCTTTCTCTCCTGGTCAGCATTCTCACCCTAGGTTGCTTCGTTCCCACGCGTCTCGTCCTCCCCGTTTGCCTTCGCCTCCTCCGTCGTCGCTCACTATAGCGCCTCCCCCTCTGTCTGACTACCTCCGTGCTGCTCGTCCTCTTGTTCCTCGGGTCCTTGCCTCCCTCGTTACCGACCTGTCTGTTCCTGTCTTTAGTCTTGACGCTCTTGTAGCTGCTATCGCTGACTTTGCCTCTACTCGCCACGTTGACTTCACTACCGCTCTGGTCTCTGACCTTGTATGTCCTCCGTCCGTCAGGGGTGCTCCTGCCCTCGGCAGTTACGTCTTGGAGGACCGGCAGTACGAGCTTGCTTTCCTGTCAAAGGCTGCTCCCCATCTCTGTTCCATGCAGCTAGTCCCTGAGGGTGACTCCGACGCATTTGACATCCCGACCCCTCGCACTTACGCTAAGGCGACCACGGGACCCTGGGCCTCTTAGTGGATAGCTGCCATAGAGAAGGAGATGGCATCTTGAAGGGCTACCGGCACCTACATCAACGCAGTTCCCCCATTTGGGGTAAACGTAGTCAATGGCTGGTGGCTCTTACACAGTCACACTTGGTGCGCCAGGTCCTTCAGAGGTTCAGTCTTCAGTTCTCCTCCGCACAACCCACACCTCTTCCCGTAGACCACAGGCTCTCAGCTCCAGTTCCCGAGGAGTCAGCAGAGCCCAGTGGTCCTTATGCAGAGCTGGTGGCTTGCCTCATGTACCTGATGCCTTGCACTCGCCCAGATCTCGCATACCCTCTCAGCAGCATGGCCCGCTTTGTGGCCACAGGCAGACACCGACCACAGCACTGGTCGGCAGCTAAAAGGGTTTTGCATTATCTTGCAAGTACATCAGGCATGGGACTAGTGCTGGGAGGACGCAGGCCAGTGGTCCTTACTGGACACACAGACGCTTCTTGGGCAGACAATGCTGAGATCCTCCGGTCCTCCCAGGGCTACTGCTTCAGCCATGGTTTTGGTGCCATCTCATGGAGGTCCACTCGCTCCTCGTCCGTTGCGCAGTCTAGCTGCGAGGCTGAGATCTATGCGGGTGCCATGGCGGCACAAGAGCTCCACTGGCTGACCTTCTTCCTTGCCGACTTATATAAGCGGCCTAGCTCTGCCCCAGTTCTGTACGCTGACAACAAGGCCATGATCCTCCTGTGTCAGGAGCCTCGACTTGAGGGCAGAGCGAAGCACCTCCAGCTGCGTTACTTCCTCCTGCGCGAGCTTCAACAGCGTCGCCAGGCCCGCGTAGTACACTTGGCCTCCGGTGCCAACACAGCTGATATCTTCACAAAGGCGCTTGCGCCTAGAGATCGTCAGCGGCACTGCTTACAGTTAGGTCTAGTCCCTGTTGACTCTCACTTGCTTGGCCCTTGAATGTGTACTCCTTTTTATTTATGCCTTCCAGACTGGCCTTGTGGCTTTTCACCCAGTGGTTGGACTAGTAGTGCCGCTCTGGTTTGCTCTGTCTTGCTTGTACTCTTGCTGACTGGTCTTCGGGCCCCTGCCTTAGAGGTTGGACTAGTAGTGCCACCTTGAGCTGCGTGTTTCGTGCTCAGCACTACCCCTTATCTAGCCTAGGGGGTGTGTCAATTTATACACATATTGTTATGTAGAAGTTGTAGGCTAGATAGGGTATGTTCTTAGTGGGTACAACCCTAACGCTAAATCTCCCCTGTTCTCTCTTCTTCTATTCTTTCTTTCTAGTCTTAACACCCCTTTCCTGGTCACTTCTTTTTACTTCGACTAAACAAAACCACGACTTTACATCGACTGTACAAAATGACGTTGTTCTCTTCTTAAAATGCACCAAGCTAGTTTTAAAATCATACCAACCTAGCAGTACGTGCCACTATCATCGCATGGGCAATTACATACCGCGCACACCTAACAATTCATCTCCTTGTCGACACTCACCAGCCTATCTTACATCCATAGCGACTATTATCGACTAGATCACTCATTCCAGCATTCCGAAAATCAAGGGCTTACGGCCCAGCGTGGTATGCCTGAGGGACAGACTGTATGGCTATCGAATTTCTAGTACGTGCCATGAAAGGCTATGCAGGAAGCTGTCATCTAAAAGCAAAGGCTAACACCAGATGGCTCTGAGATATTTTGGAGTAGAATTGGTTTGGATTCAGGGGTGCCGTCTTTAAGAGAGGTTCGTAGTTCTGTACATGTGATCGATTAGAATCGCTGGTAAATTGAGATGTGTGTACCAGCTAGACAGACGGGTTCGCGACATCAACCCTATATTACGCATGCAAATAATAAAACACAACGAGTTAATAAAAAACGGGATGACCTCTAAGAAAAAAACACGTTTATGCGGATACCGCATGCGAAGCGAGCACTGGTGTACTATGAAGATGGAACTCGACGTGATTCAGAAATCGTTAGCGGAGCAACCTATGAATAACAAACATGTTCCAATCGAATGCGAAGCAGGTTGTAGAGAGGAATTATATTTCAGGCGGCGTGTCGGTGGTCGCTGGCCTGATCTGTTCCTGGGGCTGGTGACGTGGCATGTGCGCGCGAACTGTCTCAACAAATGCCACACACCATCCACGAATTTTTGACAGTTTGGCGTGTGTAGTTCTTGTGCCCCCTCAATTTATAAGTTACTGTAAAGCACAACAAAACTCGAAGGTGATCCAGGCGGAACACACATTGAAGCTTGTGAAATGTTGCGTGCGCATCAACCTGGTTGGTGATCTGTAACCAATGAGAAGCCACCTTCAACGCAATCACCTCAAGAAATTGCTATAGTTGCTGTTTTGGGTACAGCGGGTATGCTCTATGCTCCAAATCCGCGACTCCCAAACTTGATAATACGACGAATAGGAGGGTACCAACTGGCAAACTTGATAATAGAGTAGCACAAGGGATTTTACGCTGGGTGGCATAGGCCGTTTTACTCGTTTTGTTCACGATGAGTGCCTTGGCGTATTGGCCACCTGGGCCAGATTACCAGCGATTTCACCGCGTCTCCTGTGAGGGCTCATGTGGCCTGTAACACGTGGACAAAAAAAGTCACACCTCATTCTTGACCTTCCCACAAGCAGCGTAGGCTCAAAACACGCAGAACAAATAATTTGGAATGCCCTTTTCGTGGTCACACGAAAAATACTAAATGCAACAAAATTTTGACGACTTAATTGAGCGGTTTTGTTAACCAACCACACGTTTATACGAAAGCAAAAACGACCCCCTTGAGAAAATAATTTTCAAAATGTGCAGTTGTTAATGGTGATTTAGGAAACAAGGTTCGTGTTTTCGTATTCGGGATGGACCTCTTCGTGTCATATGGGTAGCTTGAATATTTACGTAATTGGTTCAAAAAAAATGAAAAAAAACACCTCGAATGCTTTTGATACGAGGATTAGAATACGACTGTAATCGTAAAGCAGAATGGATGAAAATGTTTGCATAGTACACGTGCTTGCGTACAGCTTGCTGATTTTCCAACTAGCGATATTTTCTTCGTCGTTGGGTCGTTATCTGGATTGCAGTCCCAATATATTGCGAATCAGTTGCATAAATGGCGGTATTGGATTTCGTAAAAATATTATGCGACTTTCGTCCAGCCACTCTCAAATCGCGAGGAGCCTCGTCAGAAATTTCATTGGTAGACAGGGCATTTTGCGACGTTGACCGTACGCACTATAATAGTTGTACTCCGTACGATCGAAGTATAGCATGCTGGATCCTACCGAATTATGGATGTTAGATTAGCATCTGTATAAAAATGTCGAAGACTTAATGGCATATCCGGTGTAAAGCATCCCCAAACAGTACACCTGATTTTCCCGATTAGTCTGAAGCTTAATCTCACCTAGCAGGTGTTCTGCATGACTCGTGTTGACACTTAACCTGCTTGGCTGGGGTCTCAATGATAGCAAATAGTCAAGTCATATTTCGACAATTACGAGAGTCCGATCTGGGAGGTCTGGCAAATTATATGGTGCATAAGCGAGAATTTGTAGCCAAGTGTCATTTTGTTACTGGAGGGTTTCTCCTTCAATGGCCTGCGTTTTACCGTTTCCTGTTTACAGGCTTGAGACGCGTAATCGAACTGTATTTCCCAATAGGAGTAAAGGTGTATCGTAAAGACCGATTGACAAGAAGTGGGTCCAGTTGGCGGATCGCACATTGAAACTCGTGGAATGTGAACAAAATGCAGTTGCCAATCTGGTCGGTGACCAGTATCCAATACGAAGCCTACACGGTGGCTTTTAGGTGATGACATCTTCTTCTACTCAATCCCGCATTGTTCGATGAGCCACTCACTTGCCGCTTCCAGTGGAAGCCTTCCACCCAAATTCCACGCGCCAACTGGGTAGAAAACCCGGACCGCACCAAAACCGTCAGCGTCGAGTTGTGGAGCTGCGTGCGCTTCGCGGCAGTCAAATGTTGGGGACAACCAATCAACTAGTGCACAGCAGCACCGTGTCAACGGAAGGGCCTAGCAGGCGCGGCTTCCGCTACGCTCGGTTCGGTGTCGCAGATGCGGTTTGCGTAAGTAGCCTCACCGCTATGGCCGTCCGTTTGTTTGGCTGGGAGCTCAGGGGCCGGGGGAGGGGGGGGACAGGTTCGGGAGGTGTGTGTGGCGGGTTCGGGGGAAACGTGGGGCAATCTGGTTCGGAGAAATTTGGGGACCGCGGGAAGCCACACCCAGGGAAACTCCCACCTGGTGATGATCAACTCACCTCAACTATTTAGGCCACCATAATTCATCGCAGTTACTCATCAAACTCACCATCTCATCAGCTCCACACATCCCGCTACCACCTTCCTCTCTCACATCCCGCCTACATTCCAAATCTCACAACCATCTCGTTTCGCCTCCATGGCTTCGTCGCGATTCTCCCTCCTGGCGGCATCGCTCGCCGTTCTCCTCCTCGCCACGGCGACCAGCGCCTTCGCGCGACACTACGCCGCAAGCGGCGCGACGGTTAAACCCGCGGCAACAGCCGCAGCGTGCACCGCATCGACTCTAGCCGGATACGCCAAGTCCGTCAAGCTCACCGCTGATGGGTACGTTATACGCGTCCTGCTAGTACTGACTCAGTCTCGTTTCGTCGGACGATCGAAAACCGCGTTCACCGGCGCGAGATGTTTTGCTCGAATTAGTTTCGTGCGACTGCTACGGCCCTGCAAGCCCCTACCATGATGGATCGCTGTCCGTTCACTCTGTTCAGACTTCTACCAACCGTTTAACAATACACCCACATTACCTCGCTCCTCTGACCGTCATTCCGTCACAGATGTTTATTTTTCCTCGTCGTTTCCTATGGCCCCTGTTCAATCTTGCAGCCTGCTTCTTTTCCACTGGAACGTCACCAAGAACAAGAACGGGATCGTCGCGGCCGTCGAGGCCAAGGCCGGCAGCGGCGGAGAAACCGGCTGGATCTCCGTCGGCTGGACGAAGAAGGCCGGCATGATGTCTCCCGCCGATGCCGTCGTCGGGAATCTCGCCGCCGCCGCGCCTAACAACGTGCTGGCTTATTCGATGAGCGGCAAGGTTCTGAGCAAGATCAAGAAGACGACCGCTGTGAAGCTCTCTGCGAAATCCGTGGTTACCTCTGCCGACAGCACGATCGTCAAGTGAGTTTCGTTCCGCGCGCTGCGCGACATTCCGTAATCCATGGTGGTCACCATGTCGGTAACTTCCACGCTCGTGCCGTGTCGAAACCCTCCTCCTAGTAAAACCGATAGCTCGTCCTTGCTGCTCCTGCGCCTCCAAATATTTTGCGTTCTCTCTCGCTAGTTACTGATCCCGACCGCGTCGGCTCATTTCAGGTTCACTCGCACTGCCAAGGGCGGCGTGGGTCCGATCAGTTACACGGGTAACAACAACATGATCTGGGCCTTCTCCGACGCCAAGGCTTTCACCAGCCACACCCAACGGTAACATCTCAGGCCCGTAACAGCGTCTCCGCAAGCAACTTATTGAATTTCTGCTCTATTTCCGCTTTTAGTTACGGTTATTGTTTAGATAGTGGTCTCATTTGTTCTCCCTTCCGTTCCGTTTCTTCGTACCAGGGGTAGCATCCTCGTCAACCTCGCATGCAAGGTGTAATCGGGTGCCATGTTTCATCTCCGAGATGGTATTTGGAGTCCACAAGAGACCGTAGCCGGGGATATGGCACCTACAATCAGCTCTCAAGGTGTGGCGCAGCCGTTAGCATCACGAGACTTCTTCGTGATGTGGCTTCAGGAAACAAGGATGCGATCCTTGTTGCTGATTGTTGATGCTGTGGACTGTTGAATACAGCAATACATTGTCACCATTGAAAGCAACCGTACTGAATGGATCTGTCCACAGCAGGATGCGGGGGAAAACGCCAGGCCTGGTTCGGGTCAGGTTCAGCGTACCGCTATTGAGTTTCCCCGCTCCACCGAACTTCGTACATGGGTCATGTTTGCGCGCGCACACGTATCAAATATGTCAACAGGCAGACAAGGCTGAGTTCTACATTATGTTTCACTTGCTGCTCCATGTGCTAAACTAGATGTGACGAGAAACGAGATGCGAGGAGAAAACGAGATGCGAGGATTTGTGCTGGGAGTGAGAACGTCCGGCGAAAGGAGAGACAAGGGGAAGATCATTTCTGTCAGGGAGGGCGGTGGCTACAAGAATGCGGGGTTTTGCGGGGGTTGGGAAGTGTGTAGGCCGAAGGATGTGGCAAGATGCGACGGGATACGAAGAGGTGTGACAGGGTGCGAGAGAACAATAGAAAACTAGTTTCAAATCTGCATCATAGATTTGTTTCTAACCAAAGATGTTATGATAATCTGGAAAACAAAAAAAGAAAAAGTTCGTCAGACAACATTCATGAAGAAATCATGAAATGGTCTGAGGATTGCAGAGCTTTTCGTTGACTAAGTCACGTTATAACTGCTTAATGACTCTTCATAGTCATGAAAATTTCTTGTAAAACATAACATCTTGGCATTGTCAGCAAACAGGACCGGGGCAGACCTAGGCTGCTCACCTAAGTCAGTGAGCAAGAACGTCAGCCAGCGGAGCTCCTGAGCAGCCATGGCCCCAGCGTAGATCTCTGCCTCACAGCTGGACTGAGGTACAGACGACGACCTGGTGGACCTCCACGAGATTGCACTGTCAAGATTATATAAGTTATATATAATTGATAGGCTTGATAGTTGATAGTGAACCTATCTGTAGAGGGTACAATCCCCTCCTTGTACTCCTCTCTCTTCCTAATCGATACTCTTCTCTCTCGACATACTCGTCCACCTTCTAGCTAAACCCCACCGCCATTTTCATTGCGGCCTTCTTACCTTCCTAGTGGCTGCCTACCTACGTTCCTTCATACTAGCTACGTAGCTAGTGTACTAAGCTTCTTTGAGATGCACCAGCACCAAGACTAAAGCAATAGCCCTGAGTCGACCTGAGCGTCTCCAAGTCGTCTGCCCACGACGCGTCTATGTGTCCAGTGAGCACCACTTGCTCCCGTCCTCCTAGAACAAGCTCCAGTCCTAATTGTTCAAATTATATTTTATATAATTGTAGGCTTGATAGTTGTACTACTGCATCCTACTGTAGAGGGGATAACTCCCCTTCTTGTACCTGATTATCTTCTAGTTCAATCCTCTTCTCTCTAAAAAAAAAAAAAAAAAAACGGTAGTCATGGCGTCCTAGCTGTCCTACCTTCACGACATGGTAACAGAGCAGGTCGCCCATCCTGGGCCTGCTCACTAAGCTTCCGATGCGTTCCCGTCGTTTCTTCTCCGCTGTTGCGGCTTTCCGCCTGCCTGCCGCCGTGGCATCTTTTCCGTTATGCCGCGGCGGCCTTTTAGTGCCGTCGTCTCAGCGTCGACGAGGAGCCGCGGCGACGACGCCACGCGGTGGTGGTGTCGCCGTGGTGCTGTGGCTGTGTCGTCGCGCATCACCAGGTGCGGCCGCAGCACGCAGCCGTGGCGACGCCGTCGACGTTTGGCCGTGGCGGCGTGACGGCGCCGTCGTGCAGACGTCGCGGCATCGACGTCCCGCTGCAGCATCGACGTCGTTCTTTGACGGCGCCGTCGGGCTGCAGCCGACTGTGCGATGCCGGTGACGCTGCCGCCGCCCACCCGCCGGCCATTCGCCCCTTCTCCCCACCCCACCCCTTCTCCTTGCGTCTCCTCTTCCTCCTGCCGCAGCTGCTGTCTTCGGCTCGGTCGTCGCCAGCCCGAGCCACACCGCCGAGAGCCCTCAGCCGCCGCAGTCGCCGCCTGTCCTCCTCGACGCAGCCGCCTTGAGCACGAGCTCCGCCGCTGTCATCATTGAGGCTGCCCAGATGCGGCTAGCTGCCTCTCGTCCGGGGGTGTCATCGCCTAGAACGAGGGGTCGATACCCGGCTGCTCACAAGAATGAGGGTGTCCAGGGTTAGGGGGTGTGTGTGTGGGTTGACTGGGCTTGCCATTACCAAGCCTAGGGGGTGTGTTCAAATTATATTTTATATAATTGTAGGCTTGATAGTTGTGCTACTGCATCATACTGTAGAGGGGATAACTCCCCTTCTTGTACCTAATTCTCTTCTAGTACAATCCTCTTCTCTCTCGCCTACCTCCTACCAAAACCCCGCCGCCATAGTCATGGCGTCCTAGCTGTCCTACCTTCACGACACTGATGTGCTCGCCAGATACCGCAGTACCCTCTAGGCAGCCGACCAGTGGACTGGTCGGTGACTGCCTGTCGCGACAAAGTGAGCTAGGAGACTGAGAGAGTACGCTAGATCTGGTCGATTGCAGATCATCAGGTACATGAGGCACCCCACCAGCTCTGCGTATGGACCACTAGCCTCGACCGGCTCAGCCGGAACAGGAGCAGAGAGCTTGTGATCCACAGGCAGGGGGGTGGGCTGTGCTGTGGAGAACTGGAGACTAAACCTCTGGAGGATCTGCTGCACCATATGGGACTGGGAGAGTGTGATCGTGCGAGCGGCACGGTCACGAGAGATCTCCAAGCCCAGATAGCACTTCAGCTCCCCCAAGTCTGTACATGTGTGTCTCCTAAGTAACTCGACCTTCACTGAGGCCAGTGCGACTCTGTCAAGAGTAGCAAAGATAAGATCGTCTACGTACACTAGAATGTAGAACGGTGTCTGACCTGTGCGAACAAAGAGAGAGGGGTCAGCAGAGGACGGAAAGAACTGCAGCTCAGCAAGAGTGGTGCGAAGCGTGTCATGCCACTAACAGGGTGCCTGACGAAGGCCATAGACAGGACGGCGCAGGCTCCACTGTGTCCCAGGTGGGAAGGACCCAGAGAAGCCTAGAGGGCGCCGGAGGTAGATCTGCTCGTGCAGACTAACCTGCAGGAACGCTGTGGAGAAGTCGAGTTAGTGCAGTTCCTAGTCACGCTGTACGGCTATGTGAAGAAGCACCTGAAGAGTAGTCATCTTCGAGGTCGGGGAGAAGGTCTGGAAGAAGTCCACTCCCTTACGCTGGCTGAATGCTCTAGCCACGTAACGCGCCTTGAACTTCGGCGGCTCTCCAGGTGCGTGCTTCACCCTGTAGATCCACATGCCATCGACTACGTTCGCCCCAGGCGGGGAAACTGCGTCGACGTAGGTGCCAGTGGATCTGTAGGATGCCATCTCAGTCTCCATGGCATATATCCACTGGGCTGCCCCGGGGCCCGACACCACCTTATCGTAAGAGCGCGGAACAGGGATGTCGAGAGCGTCTGGGTCGCCCTCTGGGGATACAAGCATGGAGCAGAGATGGGGAACAGCGGCAGCAAGGTAGGCCAACTCGTACTGCCTGTCCTCTAGCACATCACTGCCAAGGGCAAGTGCACCCCCGACGGACGGAGGACGGACAGTACCAGAGACCAGAGCAGCAGCGTAGTCAAGGCGGTGGCTAGCAGCAAAGTCAGCGACTGCAGCGAGCAACGCGGAGGCTGACTCAGGAGGAGCACTAGGGTCAGTGACAAGCGACGCAAGCAGGCGGGACAGGACTGGACGAGTAGTGCGAACATCGTCGGAGCGAGGAGGGGTGGACGACGGTAGTGACGACGAGGGAGGCAACGGGAGGACTGTGACGGGAGGAGCACGCAAACAAAGAAGCATAGGGTGGACACTAGGACAGGGAGAGACAAGACGAGCACTAGAGGGGCGACGAACCCAGTGGGGAAGAACTGGGGAATGGGGACGAGGGGGGACGGGGGACAGGTCAATAGACGGAGGGGAGCGCGGGGGGAAACGATCCGGAGAGGAGTCCGGAGGAGGAAACAACGGGCCGTAAACGGGGTCACGCACTGGAGGGGGAACGGGAGGGCTGACAAGGGAACCTGGAGCAAGACCAAGGAGACGAAGGGCAGACTGCGGCGGCTCCTGCTGCGGCGGCTGCACCTGCTGCTGCTGCTGCTGCTGCTGCTGCTGCTGCTTGTCCGCTCCAGGACCTCCTTTGGCACCCCAGCTGCCACTCGCACGCCGCGAAACAGCACCCCCAAGACTAGCACCCTCGGTCTCACCACCTACAGAACCAGCACCCCTGGAGGCAGCACCCCCAGAACTCGCACCCCCAGAACCAGCACCCCCAAAGCCCACTGCTCCCTGCTGCTGCTGCTGCGGCCGTGGAGTCTGCTGCGGCGACGACTGCTGCTGCTGAGGCAAGGGAGCAGGCGGCTGAGGGGCCTGGGGGACCGAGGCTGGGGGAGGCGCCACAGGGACAGCAGTTGCACCCCCAGCAGCTGGGCCCCTAGAGTCAGCCGAATCCCCCACAAGGGGGAACCGAGGGGAACTGAGTGGCGTGGGTGACACCAGTTTGGGCCGGGCGGGGCAGGAGGGGTGCGGCAGGGGGGGCAGGGACAAGGAAGAGAGAAGGAGGAGGCACAAAAGTGCCACGGTGCAGGAAGCGCCGGTAGTAGGGGAGCGTCTCGTCGAAGGTGACGTCACGAGAGTGGTAAAAACGGTGGTGTGCGGGGTGGTAGAACAGCTAGTCAGAGGCGTCAAGCGGGAACCCCAAGAAGACACAAGAAAGAGTGCGGGCTGAGAGCTTGTCCACGACAGTATCGCGGACGTGAGCAAGGCTGCCCCATACGTGGAACGCAGACGCGTCACCAGGAGACCCGTTCCAGAGGAGGGTCGGCGAAACCTGTGGTCGCTGGGTGCGCGGCCACATGTTAAGCTGGTGAGTAGCGTAGCGCACGGCGAATGGCCACAGAAAATGGGGTGCATCGGCGTGGACCATGGAGGTGCGAGCCACCTCCATGATCAGGCCGATGCATCGCTCAGCGACCCCATTCTGTTGTGGGGAGTCCAGCATTGTGTACGTCAGGCGGATGCCCTCCGCACGACAGAACCGTCCTAGAGAGCCAGAGGCGAACTCGCCACTGCGGTCAGAGAGTAAGCGACCTAGAAACAGTCGGTGGGCGGTGCGAACAGTGAGAAGCCACAGGAGGAGAACGGTCGGCACGCCGGCCTTCCGCTCCAACGGGAAAACTGTGGTGAACCGCGA